AGCAGCATCACACACGGGCCACCATAACGCAATAGCATTAAACACAGGTATTTCTGTCATTCATGTGCAAAGTACTGGAACATTCTAAGGAGATAAATCTCTCCAGTACTTCCTTTCCTTATGTCTCCCAGCCTGCCAAATAGTAGCAGGTAAAACACAACATTATTGCTACGAAGTGTATTTTTCTCTCAGATGCTTCCACCACTTCTCATTATCATTTCAAAACATAACTGCTGCACAACTTGAATAATAGGTGCATAATTCTGACTCATTTATTTTTATATATATTTTTTTTTTTTACCCACATATTTCTCTGGAGGGAGTGAAAGCCCAGACCCGATGAACTGCTAAAGTCTATGTCAGCTACAGCCTTAGGACAACCAAAACAACTCAAAAGAATAATTAAATATGTTCCAGGATTGTGTCTACATCTCCTCTCCTTTTTTTCTATTTGTGCTGGAACAGATCAATGGTATTCATTACATCCTGTGGATTTATACACAGAAAAACAATATCATAGTAGGGCGTATGAATACCATGCAAAGTATATTTCAGGAGTAAAATTATTTACCAATAATTTTATGGTCCATTGTGATCATTTATTACAAGCAATACTTTAGAGTAACTGAACATTTTCAGACACTAAACTGCTCAATTGGCATTAAAGTATCAAACCCTGCAACTTCTGCATCCACAGAAAAGACATGCAGATATAGACAGTGCAGGTGAAAACTTACTTTGTGTGTGACGTTGGCCTAACTAGATACATTGGCATTATAAGGCATAAGCACTATTTCATATATATGGAGACCACTATAGTCTCAAAATGACTTAATGACTGAAATCAGGCCTCAAAACTGTAACTTGCTACCATGAAACATATAACAGCACATCTAAGAATAACTTCTAATAGTTTGCTGTTGTCCCATCTTGTGATTATAATCAAGTACTGACCCCAGGTAGTAAACGCTGAAATCTGCAGAAATAACTCCAGTTCCAAAAAAGCAATTACCAACCAACAAAAGGCAATGAAAAAAAATCTAGGCAGACTGTGCCAGAATTTGCAGAGCACACGCACACATAAACATTTACATTTTACAGCCAGCATGTATACTTTTTTCTACACAGTGGGTCATGGGTTTAATGCAATTAAAAATCGTCTTGACGAATGTCAACATAAAACTTCCACAACTGCTTTCAAACACATTGAAAATCTTTGTGGGCATAAAACCTACATGCAGAATCAGCAGTTACCTCACCACAAAACCACTCTCCATTATGCTAATGTTCCTGTCACACAAAAACCACCCTGACGTGAGAAACACTGACATCTCAGAGACAGGACAAAGTAAGGGGAACTGCAGGTCTTTGATCTGGCTGAAAGTGCTCTGCATTCTGATTAGAATTTCTGCTGGGATCCTAGGAGATGAAAAGATTTTTTTAAGTCTGACAGTTAATGGAAGGGGAGAAGTATTCAGAAGAGAACAAAAAGAGGAGCACTGAAAGCAGATGACATCATGCCTCAAAATGGCCTTTACCATCTCACTGACATGTTCCACAATGTAGCATAGCAGTTTCCACACAGCTATTCTTGAGAGCTCAAGATCCTCTGTGGAGACAGTATGGCAGGAGATCCACTGCTTTAAAAGGATGGAAGGTTGAAACAGGTCTAAATATAATGCGTACAGTGTATTTCAGGACCCTAAATGCATTATGATAATGCTCCAGAATACTATGTTCTGCCCGACACACTACAAGCGAAGTCTCCAGTCTGCAAAGCTTAGAAGTTCTGGCACTCCCATCTTCAGGAAAACCCCACACAGAGAGCATGGAAATGGCGTTTACTTCCCTCTGATTCTTCCCACAGGCACGGCTTGCCCTTTTGCACCAGGAACATCTTCCAACCGTGTAGGGGCCTTGGCACTGACTACCCTTCACCTCAGATTGCCAGAGGCACCCAACACTGGGGAGAGACATCAAAATGTCCCCCTTATACTTTAGCACCCTGCTTACTTATGCTCGGGCAAATGCACATACAGCCAACTCACCATGCCATTTGCTCACAAAGTATTTGTATACCTTAGAAGATACAAAGAACCTTTTTGCTGATACTGCCTTTCTATTTTTCAGAAGCTTACTCTCCTCACATAAAGTACAAAAATGGTGCTTTGAACTGTTTCTCATTAAGCCAGAAAAAGAAACTTCTTGTCAAAGCCTCTCTGTTTCTCAACTCTCCCCCTATACCATCTCCTTTATTGTCTTATGGTGTGGTCACTTTTGCAGGATTTTTTCTGTGTCAAACATCCTCCCAGCTGCAAAGACATATCTTTATAAACATGGCCTTCACTTGAACTCCAGCCTAACTGCAAAATGTAAAGAACAATAAAAGAGGCTTTAAGGATACCAACCACATCTCCTATTTCCTGAAGCTAGCGCACTTATTTTCATTTGAAAGGGAAGCTGATGTTATAATTGGGATTTTTACATTTTCACGTGAATTACAGACCTCTCTACACTGTTTCACTACCTGTATATAAACGCATTTTGAGAATAGTTTTACTGATCATGCTGGAATGAAATCTCCTGGAAAACTGGTGCAAAAATCACAAAAAAAAATTAAGCATTTTGCAACACCAAAAGAAGGCAGCATTACGTGGACACACACAAGAAAAATTCCAACCAAAGCATGCCTGACAAGCCAAGTGACCTCTCTATTCTCTCCAGACAGACTACTAAAACCTGTATCAATTACAAATGATCATATTTGATGTGCACTTAACTATACTCTCACCAGCCACAGGAAAATTATTTCTTAGAGAAACAGTAAACAACTGTAATTATTTTTGAACTGCAAATCTCTCCTTTAAAATGTGTTTTTAAGGATAAAAACCCTGTATTTTAAACTGATGTACTAAACAGGCACACATGAAGAGTGAGGATGATATTTACACATTAGAGATTCCCATTCTATTCTCTTCCTCTTACTATGGAATATTTTCTATGCTTCTAATCTTTCGTCACTCTCTTTGAATCTCTTGTTTTCAAGAAAAAAGGAACCTATTGAATATATTATGTAAGAACATCTCACTCTGACTATCTGGATTTTATCTGTACTATTTTGAGACTCTGCAATTAAACCACCACACTTTCCTCTCCGTGTCAGGGCATTCTCTTGGCACCCTCTTACCCTACAGGGCATTCTCTTGGCACCCCCTTACCCTACAGGGCCTGAACCCATCAGAGAGAACTTAAGTCTATGTGGCACAATGTACATTACAATCTTCAAGAATGTCAGCAAAAAGTACCAATCCCACATCTGTAAAACAAAAACAAGGGCTTGCCTTAAACTTGGTTTACTTTCTCCTGTTTTCATCTCACATGTTGCAAGATGGAAAACTGATTTCTGTCCAGAGACTCTGAGAGGACTAGTGAAGTCTTGATCAGAAGGAATGAAAGCTCCACTAACTTCCTCTCTGTGAGAGATTTTTCTTCCTCCTTCATTTTTCATCACAGGATATTGCTAGTATTAACAAACTGGGTTTCTCTTTTTTCCATTTCAAAGCTCTGAGGTTCAGATACCACACCAGTAGTATCAGAGAATCACAGAGATCAGAAGTCTAATGCAGTCATGTACTTGAAACTATGCATATAGTTAAAACAGCCATGTAGTAAACTTCTTCATTAAAACAACAATCATTATTAACAATTAATCATATTTATTAGATTATTATAATAATATTAATCATTACTAACCAATAATCATAGAATGGGTTGGGTTGGAAGAGACCTTAAAGAGCATCTAGTTCCAACCCCCCTGCCATGGGCAGGGACACCTTCCACTAGATCAGGTTGCTCAAAGCCTCATCCAGCCTGGCCTTGGAACACTTCCAGGGATGAGACATCCACAACTTCTCTAAGCAACCTATTCAAGTGCCTCATCACCCCCACAGTGAAGAATTTATTCTTTAAATCCAATTTAAATCTACCCTTTTTCAGTTTAAATCCACTACTCCCTGCACTATCACTACACACCCTTGTAAAAAGTCCCTCTCCAGCTTTCATGTACCCTCCTTTCGGTACTTGAAGGCTGCTAGAAGGTCTCCCCAGAGCCTTCTCTTCTCCAGGCTGATGAACCCCAACTCTCTCAGCCTGTCTTTGTAGGAGAGGTGCTCCAGCCCTCTGATCATTAATAATCTGATATTATTTGCAGAGATGTTCTCTCATGCACTTTGACACCGTAAGTTACTTTCTCCGTCAGGAAATCTAGCTCTCAAAACGCGTTTGCAACAATCTATAAAAGAACTGATTTATTTTAGGGATCAGCAAGAATTACTGCACTCTTCAAGTCAATATTGAGATGTACTGACCTGAAGTCAGCGAGCATTCAACTCAACACGAGCAGAAAAGGTACAAAACTATCTGCAGAAAACCCTAACAATCCATGCATAAGGTGAACTACACAGCTTATCTGGGGAACATAAAGTACTAATGGGATAAAAAACGAAACTATACTGCATTTAGCCTTGCTGACTTGATCATTACCACAGTATGCCCGTTTTCATTTGTGTTCATTCTAAGGAAAGAAGCTTCCTTGAGTTCTACAGTTACCCATGCAAATATGCATATAGCAAATTTAGTTAAATTATGACTTAGAGAATAAAAAAAGTATCAGACGGGAAAACTGTAAACAAACATAATCCCTTGAAATTTCAGCATCTCTAAAGTAAATCATAGCTGGAAACTATATAAGCCGTTCAGTGGCTCAGACGTATTTGACAGGAGTCAAGGTCAGAGGTCCAGAAGGAGGGCAGCCATAACAAAGGAGAAGTTACCAAGAAGGCCGCCAGCTGTAAGACAAGTAGATGCACGTATTTTGTGGAAAAGAAATCAAAGCCAGTAAGCTGGAAAAGCTGGAAAGGGTCAGAGTTTTAAAAGGCCAAGACTTCATGGTATTTACTTGTATGTCTCAAAGTTCATGTTGCGAGGGGAAAGATGCTTACTTGTAAAGGTAATATTCAGCTTGATCCACTTCCTCTCGCGAAGAAATGTTGTCAACAAACTGATTAAAAAATACAAAATAAAAAGCTTCAGAGGGAGCATTCACAAAGCATATTAGAAGAAAATGCCACTTCAATAAACAAAACACATTTGTTTGGCAGATTTAGGTGTCTGACAGTACTGGAGCTCTTCAAGTCTTGGCTTGCTCCTACTCAGGTTTCTTCTAGACTGCTAAAAGTCAAATCTTTTTAAACTGAGACGCCTCTCCTCACCTCTAAGAAACATTATGCACCTTGAAAACACGGTGACCATCTGAGAATTAGGCCCATATAGCTGAGTACCCCATATTTTTGCCGTTCTTGGAATTTTTTCTCTTTAATCACATCCTTTACTTTGAGAATACCTTCAGTTCCTTACTTTTTTCCCCCCGATTTTGAGTGAGTCTCAATATGCCTTTCTTCTCTTTGTAAAAAAGTATTTTTTCCCTAACGTTTGCCTGTTGTGCTTATTCATACTACAAATTCTGAAGGACAGAGGCAACAGCATTTTGTATTTCACCACACATATAAATAATGGTAAGAAAAAAAATCACCTCCCATGCTGTAAAGCACAATTTGCCTCTCATTTAAAACGTTTTCTACTCCAGGCAATCTTCCAAAATTTGCAGAGCTATCAACTACTTAAATAAAAGTCATGTTTTCAATCAGACTTTGTCTAACCGTAACAGTGAATCCTGTTTTCCTGCAGATTTTACTAACATAAGTATAAAGATGCTGGAACACTCGAGAGTCTTCCCAATATAATACTTTTAGCTCAGAATATATGGACAACATGTTCTCAAGGTCAGGACTTCTCTTTATCCTAAGCATAAGCTAAAAATAATAGTTTCAGCTGACTGGTACTTGCTTTCCAATTTCTTAACCCTCCTTGCATGCTGCAAACATGTAGCTCTCATCTTTTGAGCGTGGCAATAGCATGCCTGCATGCTTTATTTACATTTTAGAAAATAAGAATTTGATGTGAGCTCCAGGTATTGGAAAGTGGGGCTGTCTGACAATCTAGAAATGTCACTTCTCCAGGAAAGAGGCCAGCCCAAAGCAGGAACATGAAGGAAAGGAATAAAGCTGATTAAGTAACAACAGGGAGAACTACTCTCATTTCCCCCATGGACGCTGCCTCAGAAGCAACAACCGCGAATACTAGATCTGCAGCGATGCTTGATCTTGTAACTGTAAAAATGTTCTGTGACTTTTGTTAGTGGTGACAATGATCCTAATTAGTGGTGTTGCTGAAGCACCAGGGTGGTGACTCAGCTTTTCTGGATAATTTTGAAGACTGAGATTAGTTTTGTTTTTTCTTTTAAAAGAAGTGACACATTTCTTCTCCTTCTTCAGTACAAACACTCAAGCAGGGAACTTAAAAGCACATCTCACATCTCCGCCTTCACTCTCCCTCCACAGATTAACCCATCCAGAGGATGGAACTGGTTACTAATTCTAGCAAAAATAATGGTTTCGCTTATCCCACACCAGCATTTGTCCTGCCTCACTCTGCTGAGGGAAGGAAAGAAAACTGTAGAGGCAAAATGTATCCACCTCTGCCTCACTCTGAAAGGAGCCTGGAAGTGGAGGAAGATGCATGTAATTCACTGCATTCCCTTAGCAGCCTGGGTTCTTATAAAGTGCCTGAGGGGGCAATAAAGCTCTCACTAAGACAGAAAACACAGGAAGGCAGGGAACGTATATTAGGGAAATACATAGTCCAGTAACAGTGAGGCCCAATTTTACCGAGAAAAAAAACTATTTCTGTTTTGAAGACCCTACCGTCCAGGTACTAACTAATGAATACACAGTAACAATAAAACAGATTTACACAGCAATTTAACTGTATAACAAGACATTTACTATCCCAGAAGTCCCAGCAGAGGTGGTATCATTTATCCCCTCTCAGGTCACTTGTTTTCATAAGCATTCCACTGTCATTTCCATCACTTTATCATTGGGATTTATCTCCTTACCCGGGCTATCGTCAAAGAGCTGACAGGGAACTTTCTTTCATAGGTTCTGTCCATTAAGTGGGCTAAGTCAGCTGGAGAAAACAGAAAAAGAGTATGTTTAATCAACTGGCATTACATGAAAATCTGAAGAGCCATCATACAAGCTAGAATAGAATCTCTCTGCATGAAATCAAACTCTAGTTCCCTGTTAACATCTCATTTTAAAGTATGAACACAATACTTTCAGTAATTGTTAAATACTTTAAAAGAAAATAACACACGGAAATGTTTTCAACATGATCAGAAAGAAGGGAGAAAAAGTAAACTATCCTATAATGTGTTCGATGACACAAGTATAACTAATATAACTCATCTAAAAAACTGAGCTGATGTCCTTAAAATTCACACCTGCTTTCAAGCTTAGCATATGCTGCTGGACAGTGCCTTCTGCACAGGTTTGTCCTTTATTTTACGGCAAAACAATGAGACACAGAAACAAGCAGTACAGTTGTGATAAACTCTACAGTCACAACCAGCAATCCAAAGAAATTCTGTTCACCAAATTGGGCACTGTGCCAGTAGCTTATTAACTTTATAGCATGCTGCTCCAGCAGTCATATTACAATATTAATTTGACCACACAGGAACTTGAAGCTTCTGACTGTTGAACAGGTAGCCAACCATTGCATTTAATGAATTTAATTGGAAGTTAAATTAATTTAATTTGGAGTTTTAGTTTTGCACTGTTCCTGGAAAATAATGATGACTCAGGAAGAGTAAGCTATTTATTGTGCGCTTAGTGTCAGCTGTTTGATTCTCACCTGAGACATGAACTGATGATATCCAATCTATAACATTTAGAGACTTCAGTCATAATCTTTCTATTCTCCTGCATCTTCCAGGACGAGGAATCCTACATATTCTCTCTGCACCATTAGCATCTTGCTTCATCCTTTGCATCCCAAGACTACAACTGTTACTAAACCAGCCTCTCCTTTGATACATCTCTTAGTCTCTTTGGCCAACCTTCAAGAGCTGATGGGTTGGCTCGTTTTACAATTCATTTTCCAAAAAGGTCATCTGCCCTCCACACCTGCCAATAATATGTGAGGTGAGCACAACTTGAAGCACCACGTCAGAATTGACTAAGCCTTCTACTCTGGCAAAGTTATCAGGGGCAGGAAGCAGCATTGCACCAGTAACATGCTGTGTCTCCGAAGGATGCAGATCATGTATGTCCCATCCACAAAACACCTGATATCACTATCCATCATTTTAAAAACACATCTGTAGCACCAGTGAATACTGAGGGGTATTCAGTTCTAACAGTAAGAATGGCATTCAGTGCCACTCTGACCTTACAGGTACTCACAACCTTACAGGCAATCACAACACATGTGCAAAGATTGCTGCTGCGGTAAAATGATAGAGCCCTGATTTGGAATAACATAGTTGACTCTCAGTCTGGACAATGCTGCTGCCCACCACACAGCAGTATTTCGTGTTTACGTAACACCTTCCTTCCCAAGGCACTTTAAGGTGTTCTTCAAAATGCAAAAAGAGCATTTATCTCCAGCTGAGGGAAGGCAAGAATTTCATGATCACGAAAGCAAAGGGAAATCTGGGGCAAAGTTACAGAGGCAAGTATCAGCTCATATGAAAATCAACACAGGATGCTGAGGGCCACCAAGACCATGCTATACCACATAAACACTAAAACAGCGGATCAACCTTTTTAATGATAAAGAAATTTCTGTGGGAATATCTTTACCATAATTGTCCGTATTTGACTTTGTATTACTCATCTCTCCAGCACTCACAAAGGTCATGATAGAGCACATAGACAAAGACTTTGGGGGCATTCCCAGCAGTGCTAGAAGTTAGAGAGAACAGATGCTGCGGCCAAGCAAGCTCATCAGGAACTAAGAACTGGCTAGATCCTTGCCTAAACATACTAAGCCAAATGACATCCAACATTCTTCATCTGTATTTCAAGATAGCTGGAAAAAAGTATTCACTCCGAAATCTGCTATGTTTGATGACATAGCAACGTGGACCTGAGACAGCCAACTGCACAGGTTGGGAGTTCATTTATCTATTGCAGAACTATTTTTGTTATGCATCACCCTCTGAAAAGTGGAAGATGATACCTAAGATCATTTTGGGACATACTCAATCCCTACGCTTGGCACTTCTTTGGTCTAGGTGCTCACAAAGATGAAGAGCCCATTTCAGGAAACATTGAGTACTTAAGTAGAATATAAACCAAATTAATACAATGCTATGAGTGCAAGACTTCAAGACTGTTAGCCATTTATACACAAGGCTCCTCTGGGGGAGCTCACACAAGAATTTTAAGGATTGACCTTTTATGCTGTCTGCAAAGCTGGAACTCTCCATCAGAACTTTAGCATGGAAAGCAACACGAAGCACTTATCTATCAGCTCCAGTATAAGAGTCACAGTAAAATGGAAGCTGATTAAACCTTAAAGAACAGAAGACAAATCAAGTTAATGGAAAATTTAGCTTTGTTTCCAGACAAATTGTCATTTCTGCATTAGTTTCTAGATACAAATAATTTGCAGTGTGTAATTCTTTCTTGGTTTGTTTTCTCTGCAGAGCATCTAAATCCAGATACTTTTTCTCATATTCATGATTTGAAATAATTCAGCTACCTTCTGTAAACCAAGTTTGCTCCATAAGTTGCTATTCGATAATCAAGATTAAAGCTTCTTCCTAGTTAAAACATCCGATAGAAGTACCAGAATGCAAGAATGCGAATGCCGAAGTCTCCTAGCACTGTTGGTAGTAAAACTCGAGTGCTAACATTGGTGTATAAACCAAATAAAGGTTTTAATGGCCAAAGTTCTATGTACCTTCTAACAGATATATATTGCAAGTGATTTTATCTGACAGTCATTACCAAAGAGAAAACTAGTATATGTAATCTCTCATACTCATTGCCTAAAAATATATTCCTACAAAGATGAACTTTTACAAAACTTTAATTTCTCTAAAACATATTTCTGCATATTGCAGAATCTCATGGATTTAAACAAACTAACAAAACAAACTGTAAGTCTGAACTGAGGTCACTGAACTTCTGGACATAACTTCACAGCTGTCTCTAGAATACTAGTATCTGAGATTTCATGTTCACTTTTATTTTCATTTGTTCATAGAAATTCAATGTCTTGCTGCCTGCAACAGGGGAATTCAGGACAATGACTGGGACACTACTGACCCTCACTTTCCAAGTCAGTGGTTATGACATCTAACACCAGTTTGGTGGCCTAGAACATCAACACAGTTTCAGTTTGATGCACAGCGTGTGCCTATCCACAGCCTGTAGCAACAAGTGGCACCATGTAATGTCATTCCTATTGTTGAAATCCAGTGATGAGGCAGCAACAGAAAAGTGGATACAACTGTGATGCAAAGCTTACCTATCCTGGGAACGATGGGCAGAGCTAATACCTTAACTCATTGGCTAACATTCCATTATCTATAGAAAGCAAGCCTTGAGTTATTTTAAAGACTCAATTAAAATATAAAGGAAGGCTGAGGCAAGCACTTTGCCTTACAAATTTGTATGTTTCTTATTTCTCAGTATTTCCATATCCCTAGCAGCTTCTGGAAAGGACTATAGCTTTATACCGAAGGTGACTGAATGGAAACTACTCAAGTCTGTAAAGGCAGCACTGCCACCTGCTGTTGTGGAAGAGCCATTTTGGGTACCAAGAGTCTTTCTAAAAGAAAAAGACATTGCCTGTATCACTTGGATTCTGTGATCCCCTAGGAATCTGGTAATTGCTATTTTTCTCATCAAGATGCTTATTGTCACTTAATTTTACCTTTGTTAGTGATGAACCAGCTGAAACATTGGAGAACCTAAGTCCAGCCATGCCTCTCATTTCCTTGGTATCTCATTTTCAGTAAGTGGAGACCAAATTACTTCTATACAGGTATCTTCCTACCAGCAAGCAGTCTGTCATTTCCAAATTAACACATTTTCAGTTCCTAACTTTTTGAGCAAATGTGCTTCTGTACAAAAAATACAGTCTTGTCCTTTCCCATGCTTTTTTCAGCACTGAAGTTTGCTAAACTCATTCATGCTTGGAACACTAAACTGAGACTACAGAGAAGAGAATAAAAGCATATCTTATATGGACACAGTAAACGGGTTTGAGTCTCAGATGGCACCACATCACTGAAGCACAGAAATGAAACTCACTTTAAAGCAGAAATACTTCTTTTTCCTTTAAATGTATTCTCACAACATAGCTTTGCTGCGTAACAGTTCTGAAACAGTGTTTAAAATACACGAATAAAAGAGCATCTCCTCAACACAAGGAATTCACTCTAGCTATAACCACCAGTTACCACACATGAGATTCTACGTGCAACCACACAACTGGCAGAGTTACAGAGCAGACGTCTGCAGGGCTGTCTCCCGTTTGAAAATGCTAATACAGCTGACACCGTGTTAACTTGTTTTCCCTTTTCTGTGAGCACAAAATGAAAATGCAAAGCAGTTCTCTGAAAAGCATGGAATAGACATCTGCTTTGGATCAAGACCATAAGCAGAGCAGCAGCAAGAACCGTGCTTGCCAAACAGTAACAAAAGGTCTTGCCGGGCCTGGGGAAAGCCAAACGGACTGTACCAGCACTTGCACAACAATGTTTTTCTTCTACAGCGGATTTCTATTGCCTACGACATTTGCCAAAGTAAGAATCCTTTTTCACCTGGAGGTGACTGGTTCAGATGCATCCCAGGGCACCAGTCTGTGGTTCCAGCCCAAAAAACTTTGCATGAGCAGTCTTATTGACATAAATGGTTACAAGGTATTAACATTCTCTGCAGGATCCAAGCTACAGTCACAAGCACCCACCGGCTGCTTCTGGCCTATGTACAGTAAAACATGTTGACAATACCAACTTAGATGTCTACAGACGAATAACAGAAACAAAGTAGTGCATAAAAAACACTACTCTGATCATTTCATCTGTCTTCCTGCCTGACAAAAGCCCTTGAATTTCACCTGCTGATTCTTCTTTCAGCTTTATAATCTGTGTTAGAACTACTAAACACAGTGCAGGGGTCCAGGAATGAAAAATGGAAGACAAAGATTATGCATCGAGGGGGCTCTCCAAAACACTCATAGTACAAAATAATGCGCATGTATCTTCAGCATGGAAAAATGTTTTGCATGCTTTCTATTTAACATAGTCAACAAAAAGTTGGTGGAATGTAATTTCAAATGTAACCTAGCCAAATAATTTAGTTATGAATTTCACATGAGAAATCTCATTACCATATGCAGATACAGTTTAATGTACAACTTCTCAGAAATAAAACGTTTAGTTTCATTTTTCCCCAAAAGAAAAATTTAAAATTTCAAGAACTATAACTCTCTCTCCTGCAAAACTCCGAGGAAAATATTCTTTAAAAAAAATGTT